GCTCCGGCGCTCTCACCCTTAACCTTGAGAGGAAGGGCTAGCCCGACCCCCCCCTCTTTCCCGCAAAACGGGGTGGCAAAGGGGGGCCCGAACCCGGGGGGGCCCCCTCCCCTTTTCCTTATCCTTAGGCACCCGTTTGAAACCCCCCCCCCCGCCCTTTTAAAAAAAAAACCCAGCACCACCGGAACCGGCACCCGTTAAACCTCCCTAAGGTGTCCCCCCCCCCCCCCCACCCCAAACTCCCCCAGCCGCCGGCGGTAGCGGGCGACGTGTCGGGTCGTCGCGGTTTGCGCAGCTGGCGGCGCCCCGACCTCTCTCCCGTCCGCAGCACTGCGGCGGCCGGCCCGCCTCCACCCTTGGCGCCGGAGATTCGAAGAGGAGAGGGGGGGGGGGGGGGGGAGCGGGTGGTGCGGGGCGCGCGTGCCTGCACTGCCCCGCGAGGATCTCGTCGCCGACCTTGACACGGAAGGCAGGCGAGACGTGGACCGGCGTGTTCTTGTGCCGCTTCTCAAACCGGTTGTACTTTTTGATGTAATGCAGGTAGTCCTTGCGGATGATGACGGTGTTCTTCATCTTGGTGGTCTTAATGACTCCCGTGATGAGCTTGCCCCGGATGTTGACCGAGCCCGTCCACGGGCACTTCTTGTCAACATACGTCCCCTCAATCGCGGTGCGCGGCGTCTTGATGCCAAGGCCAACAGACTTGTAGTAGCGCGACTCCTTCAGAGTAGTCTTCTTGCCCAGCACCCGCTTCTTCCCAACGAAGATGTTGTCCTGCTTCTGGAACGCCCGCTGGTTCTGCTCCACCTGCGCCGCGATAGCAGCGCCTGTGCAGCGGGGAGGCGGCGACGCGATCGGTATGGCGCCTTGAGAGGGAATCCGCTCGAGGCGGGCGGCGGCGGGCGGGGACGTGCTGGGCGGCCCTCGGCCAAGGTAACGGGTCCCCATCATGTGAGGCGCCGATGCTGGGGCGGCAGCACCTGTCATGCTGCGCGGAGGCAAGTCAGTCCCCGTGGCGCCGCGACGTTTTTCTTTTCCCCTTGAGATAGAAAGAATTTTCAGCTCCTCGAGTCTCCGAATGAGATGCTGGATGGAGAGGGGGGATGGCACTGTTCTTCCTCGATCGATCCTGTACTGTTTGTATTAATGACCCCCCCCCCTAATGAATGAACACACCAACCAGTGAGCCTCTCTCTCTCTCTCTCTCTCTCTCTCTCTCTCTCTCTCTCTCTCTCTCCCTCTCTCTCTCTCTTTCTCCCCCCCCCCCCCCAGTGAGGAGGGAGGGCGAGACGATCGAGGGGTCCCGTACCATATCGTGATCTGTGATCTGTAAGGGTCCGCCCGCAGGCGCATTTTGTATACCGACCGAGGCGGTGCCCGGCCGGTGCCGAGCGCAGGCAGAGCCCACAGGTCGAACCTTAAGACAGCATTGTAGATCCCTGGGCGGGGGTGGTGGAGAGGGCGGTCCGTCGGCGCCAAACCACCTCCCACCGAGGCGGGCAGGTTCCACGCGTTCCCGGACCGCCCCGTTGGAGGTAGACCGCTCGTCTTAGCCAATCAGCCTTAAGCGAGCGGTCTGGCCGTTGGAATGGCCGAGTTTGATGTGGACTTGCGTCCTCGCGTCGATCGTGGTTACACAAATGAGGGCCCTTGGGCAGTTGGGGCCTGTAGAGAACACAGCCCGACAGTCTGACAGCGCTGACAGCACTTTCTCCGACAGCCTGACACGAGCACGTATCTGACAGCCTGACAGCAGAGTCTGACAGGCGAGGTGCTCCGTCGCTGTCAGGCCCTAACGTGACAGCTTGACAGCTGCCCGACAGCCCGACAGCACACAGTGGCCTGACAGCAGCGCTGACAGCC